AATTCAGTCTTATCTAGGTCTTCATGGTTTTGCCTTCTCTGAAGAAATAAAGATGCTACAAATAAATCTTACTACAAATGTTGGCTTTTAACAATTCACACACACCCCTCAATGGATACATGCTCTGTTTCATCAATTTTACAGGGTAGCCATATTACCTGAGCAAAAAGCTATGTCCAAGAAAATGTTAAAAGTTAAAGTCTGTGATGGCTACAATGACATCTATACTGGCAGTAGCTATTAGCAAACTATTTCTCAATATACGACTAATGGAGCCTATCCTTTACAGTCCCATGTCTCAACAGCCCTTAGGTGAAGTGTCACCTAATGACCTCTACATCCCTACTCTCCCCAATGAATCATTAAATCATTAAATTGTATAAGATGGCGGCACCTTGCTTGGCTGTGGCTGCTTTAGCTCTCAAAAGTGTTGGAGTTATTGACGGGAATGAATGATCTGGACTGAAGTACTTTTAAAAAATAGTGACAAGTAAGCAGAGTTGGATTGCTAAACTTTCATACAAACGTCAGTCCATATTGGAGATAAAGGTTTTCAGCGAGAGAGGAACTGTGGAGAAAACTGTTCTGGAGAGTCTGCATGGCCTTGGATTACTACCGGGGAAAGAACAACGGGAGTGCAGGGTGAGATTGGCTGCAATGTCTGGAGGAGCAGGGAGGAAGAAAGGGAATTACTGGAGGTGGAAACAGCGTAGTGCTCAGTGTTTTGAGCAGCGAAGGCAGCGTTTCGGGTGACGGGCAAAGTGGGGCGGCAGCCATTGAGCTGGGAAGTTCCTTCCAATGCTGACCATCTTCGGAAGAAGAGGAGGTGTGACTGAACGAGGAAACGTGGCAAACATGGAGGCCTAACATCTAGGCTAAAAGCTAAACCTTACAGAGTGTCACTTCCATTTATTTTGTTTGCAAATGCTCGCTCCTTAGAGTCAAAAATGGATTACTTGAGGCTAGATTTAACAACAAACCGGGAGGTGAGAATCTGCTATGTCATCATTGTAACTGAGACTTGGTTAAAGCCCTCTGTCCCAGATAGTGCTGTTAGCTTGATGGGATTTTCAACATTTCGGCTGGACGGGAGTTTTGCTCTTAGTGGCAAATCCCAGGGAGAGGGTGTCTGTTTTTAAGTAAATGACAGATGGTGTAATAATGCCAAGGTGGTTTCAAGTCTGTGGTCCCCTGATGTGGAGCTTCTGACCATCAGATGCAGACCCTTCTATCTGCCTAAGGAATTTTCTGTTATCATTATCACAGCTGTGTATATCCCCCCTGATGCAGAGAAGAGGCCCTGAATGTTCTCTATCATACCATCAGTGACCTACAAACTACTCACTCAGAGGGTGCATTTATTGTAGTGGGAGACTTTAATCAAGTTGATTTGAAGGCTACTCTGCCACATTTCCATCAATATGTGCACTTTGCAACCAGAGGGGACAGTACACTGGATCTTGCTTATTCCAACATCAAGAATGCATTCAAAGCTATCCCCTGCCCTCACCTGGGCCCCTCTATCTCTCAGTGCTGCTTATTCCAGCATATAAACCTTTATTAGTCAGAGTGAAACCTACAGTAAAACAGGTGAGGGTTTGGACAGAAGGAGCTATAGAAGCATTACAAGACTGCTTTGAGTGCAGTCTTGGATTGGGGCATGTTTAAAGAAGCAGCTACTGATAACCAACATATGAATGTTGAGGAGTATGCCACCACAGTGTCTGCATATATCCAAAAGTGCATAGAGGATGTCTGTGTCCTTAAAAGCATTGTTGTGAGGGCGAATGAAAAACCATGGCTGACTTATGAGGTCCGCAAGATGCTGAAATGTGGCTTTTAAATCTGGCGACATGCTGGCACTTAGAACAGCCAGAGCAAATTTGAAAAGTGCCATAAAAGGTGCAAAGCAAGCCCATTGCCAGAAAATTCAGAACTTTTTTCAGGACCCAACAAACACCAGGCAAATGTGGCAAGGAATCCAGGCCATCACAGATTATAAGATGGCTCCATCGAGATGCAAGGATGACACAGACTTCCTAAACCAGCTGAATACATTTTTGGGAAGATTTCAGGCATCAAATAGCACTCCTGCTAGGAAAGCTGTGCCGCATCCTGAGACCAAGTGCTTAGCTTTGAAGTCACCTCTGCCCGGAAAACACTGTAGAAAGTTAATATTCGGAAAGCAGCAGGCCCAGATAATATCCCTGGCATGTTCCTAGGGAATGCGCAGATGAGCTGGCTTGTGTTCTTACAGATACTTTCAATGCCACTATTAGTGAAAGCACTTTTCCTTTTTTTAAAAAAATGAGGTGGTTGGGATGGGAAATTAATCAGTTGATTGTAATGCTTAAATAAGCCCTGATGAATTCTTTTGGTAAAATGAAGTAATGGCTTATGGTTTAGCATGTTGTGTCAATCCATCCAATATAATTTGTGGGTGGTTTGCTTTATAGCTTTGTGGTCATTAAATAAATCATAGATTATTATTTTAAGCAAACTATAGCTCAGTGAAGTATTTTTTAGGATTAGCAATGCATGTTCTGGAAAATACAATTATATTTCCTATGAATAGAAATAATAAATAGTATTTTAGAGTCTGATTATGACTGATTGTAATTACTAATTATAATCAATTAGTAAGGGCTAATGTTTGTCCTTATTTTTTTGAGGTATTTTAATAATTTTCTTTAAAAGTAGGTCTCATAACTCGGGTATTTTTTTTAATTTTGGAAAAGTTGGTCCACACATGGTTTGTTTATGCCTGACTTATTTTTTTTTAAAACCTTATAGCTGGCTTGAAACAACACATGAAGCCACAAACTATAATACAGTGGTTTACCACAGTGGTTCTCAACCTATGGTCTGCAGACCCCTGGGGCCTGCGAT